TTGTCACATATTTATAATCGTACATCTACCCTCGAATCAAAATGCAGATGCGTTGTCACCCGTAAGGACTAAGATGGAATGCCTCGTTTCCAGTAAAAAGAATATATATATATATATATATATATATATATATATATATATATAAATATATATATATATATATATATACAATGAATACATCAAAACAATTGCTTTTTCTGTGGTTTTCCTATAGTATTATATTATATTCTAGTGACTTTTAACTATTTTTGTGTAGTAGAGCCACGCATATACACATACGACGCATATGCAGTTATATTAGTAGTATAGTTGTAGCACGAATGGATCGGCTCGACCGGGGAAGTACCACGCTCTCACAGAATACCAGCGTCAAATAGTAGCTGCTGTGTTTCGTATGGTGAGTGTAGAGAACCGGAGACCCTACGCGCAATGCTTACATCTTGTGTGATTAAATGTCGACGGAAAAGAGTGTCAGAAAAATCTCAAAATAGATGTATGGTATAATTTATCAAAGAAAACTATTATAAAGATCGGCTTAACGAAATATATATGCGACACTATCGTAAATCTGCTAGCTGAGCATTAGCTATTAATTATTTTATAACCATTACTGCCCCTCTTCTCTCATCTTGTATCGATTGTACGGACTGACACAGTAATACCAATATGTGTGTAAGTAAGCTATACATCTGTATCCATACAAACAAGTAAAATTAAAGTATCTGTTTGTAATGTAAAAGTAACATATCTTATAATATAAATGTAAACCGTAATAAGTTTAACGCGATAACTCATTTTACACAAATTACTAAAAACTACCTAGCATTAGACTACAAAGGGATTTTTAATAATATTTGACACAACATTTAAAATCAGTTGAATTATTTTAGGTTTTATCAACTGTTCAGAAAAACTAATGAACCCATAATAAGCCCATTTCATTTGTCTGACTTCAGAACCAATTTTCAATCGAAATAACAAAGCTTCTATTCACTCTAGTTGGATGTCGGATCTGATTAAAGCTAAAGTCACCGCCATATTCTCTAGAAGACTGATAAAATTATATTATGTCCAATCTTGAAGAAAAGGTTTTCCTTAGCAATTTTTTACATCTTAATTACTAATTTAGTGAATGAGGAACATAAGTTAGCTGCTGCTGCTATAGCTACGGAAGTAGTATTCCTCCGATTTGGATAATAAAGTAGTGGCTGCGGAAGAGGGATCTGATATGTTTTTATGTTGTGCGGACAATGTCGTAAAACTACCGAATTAAACTTGTCGGAATCAACAATAAATCGGCAGCTGATAAATCTTTGTTGTCACTAGAATAGTAGTTTTTTCCGCGAACAACGCAAATGCCGGGACGACTTCTAACCTTTAAAGAGCGTAGGCGGCCTTACATGGAGTAGTTGTTACATATGGGCTGGCGCAGCATTATAATATTAATAGCTTATTAGCGACAATGATTTTATTGAAACCATTTTGTCAGTTTAGAATATAGGCTTAGAGTAGCCAGCCGCACGGTATTCTATACGATACACTTCCAAGACTGTGCGTTGGAGTAATATAATTCTTATCTCCATATGCTTGGACAATAATATGTTTGGTGGGTTTGTTATTGTTATTCGAACTAGACGGTTCGTTAGTTTTTCATAATGCATTAAGTAAAGGTATAAAACCATCTGCGAGCGACTGTCTTTCTGCCAGATAATGATGTGGATGACTTTATGGCTAAAGTAAATAGGCTTTTGTTGTGCTAAGACAGTGTAATTTATCACTATTTACTACATGGTGGGATTGTATTCAAGTACTGGCTTACAATATGTAAATGAAACACTTGATGTAAGCAAATATTCCAACATATTATAGCATAACAATATTTTGGTAAAGGCAAAATAAAAAATGTACCCCAGAACCCGTGGGTGTCAAAAAATGGAAAAATAAATTAAACAGTAGTTGCAACTGCATCTTTTAAACAACACCATCCAATAAGCCGCGGTTGATCACCCACGTGGGAGCGTGACTACTATAGGAAACATCCCCTTATGCAATCTATGGGGTTGCCCATGTTCAGCAGTAAGAGAGCATAGGCAACCGAGTAGTCTAGAACTACACCAGAAGCTTGTTCTGAAGCTCGGTCTCGTAGATCTCTTTCCGCACTCTCAAAATTCGATGGGGCAGCAATCTAACCTGATCGGAGTAATCAGGCGATAACAACGGCTGTAAAGTGTTCAGAAGCACGAGAGTCAAACACCGCCAAATTGCTGACTCCCGGCAGCTACCGAGACTTACTCGTCACTAGACTACAGAAGAGCACTAGATAGAACTTAAGTTTTAGTTTTTAATAAAAGCATAATAAAATTATTTTGCAAATTGTAAACATTTAAAGTAAATATTCTGAAACTTAGCCTTTACTTACTGTTACCGAAGTATGTGATATTGTATCACCGATGCGTTTGCTAAAATTAGTAATGTAGACAATAGAATCCACTTTGTGTCTGTTTGTATGTTTGTCATAAACTTTTTTTTAGGGACCATTTCACGCTAACGGCATAGTTATGCCGTCATCGAAATTGGGGGTTCAAATTTAGTTGGGTAAAATAAAACTAAAAAAAAATTAGGTCACCGTGTTTAATTTACCACGTGCTCGGCGGCGAAGGAAAACACCGTGAGGAAACCTGCATATCTGAGAAATAAAAAAAATATCAAAGTCATGTGAAGTTCTCTAACACACATTGGGCCAGCGCGGCGGACACTTCTTGCCCTAAATACCCTCCCAAAAGTGAGAGGAGGTCTGTGCCCAGTAGTGGGACGTATATAGGCTGTTTTATTTTAAATAAATTGCTTCGAAATTGCATTTCCTATCTCTAGAAGTTACGGAGAGCAATGTAAACAAATTACAATTAGAGATAATATAATGTTTTTAATGAATGAACAGTATAGAAAATTGAGTAAAACTTTATGTATGCTTTTAAGAACATATTTTTAGTAAAACTCTGAAAAGGCTCTCCCCACACTCTTGAGATTTGAGAAATAGGTGTCGAAAATTAAAAAAATTGAAATATTCCACTAGTGCAATAGATTGTTTTGAATAATCTTATAATTCCAGCGGAGGCTGCACAATACATTTATTTTGAAAGTTTTACTTTACTGATTTTGTTTTTATTCCAAAATATTTAAAAAAATTTAACGCATATTTTTTAAATCTGTTTGATAATATATACGCTATTTCAGGTTTATTATAAATAGGGTTAGCTATATTTTTTAAATAATTTAACAATATTTTTCGTTAAATATTTTAATATAAATTATAGCTCGCAAATTAAAACTATCAAACGTAGAAATTAACTCACCATTATGTGCCGCCAGCTTAATTCTTTTATTCATTCATAAATCTTGTTTACTATCAATTAAAACGTTACAAATTAATTGTATTATCAAAATATCAATTCACTATTTCTTATTCTAACGCTATATTTGGTGTTTTATTTTATAACGAATCCACTAAATCTTACAATATCTAGTCCACTACTTGAGGTAAACATTAATCTTAAGTCTTGTGTCACACCTTAACACAGTTCAAAGACGTTGACAAGCTCCACCACTGACACAAAAGGTGGAAATAATTACATAAAAAAATACGAAATACGAGGGAATGGTACGGTACAGTAAAAAGCGCGATTATCATTCGATGCCGAACTCAATTCATGATAATTCGATTCGTTGTAACATATAACTACAGAGACGTAACTATACGAATTTTTCTGTCCCGATTTCTTACTGTCAGTGTGATGTTTCAGAGGTTATTCGTTGTATATGGCACGTCACTTTCGTTTTAGTAAACATGGCAGCGTCAGTGGGCAACAGATGACAGGGCGCGGGCGGGCGAGCCTGCGCCGGGTGTCGCGTTCATCTCATCTCGACACAAGGTCCGCGCGATCGCGCTGCCGGATAGAAGTGGCGAGTCGGACTCGGATTGCCGCGTGTAGCTCACCCCGGGGGCGCCACTACACAACGTCCTCTCAGACAGAAAAGAAGGTTCCTCTCGCGAGTTATTTCCGTCGATAAAGCAGTGCTTTTAGGATATTGCAAGAGGGAGACACCGAAGCTTCACGCGAATCGATTGGCTGAAAAAAAGGGGCGGGGAATAAGCACGTGGCGGTATATTTTCTTTATAGACCGTACTAAGTATACATTTCGCGCTTTTCTAAAGCTTCGGTTTCGCGTTGTAATAAGAAAGTTCGTGTTAGAGCTGTTGTTGAAAAGTTTGTGTACTAACTGTTCACTCGCAACTTGGTTTTGTTGTTAAATAAGACTTATGTCAGCCATTCTTTTAGATTTTAGCATTATTAAAGATTAAACTAATAGTGTAGTTGGTTGGTTTCATTGAAAATTCTACGATTTAATTTTTTAATTACAAAACTACAATCAATATCAGTATTATTAAATTATGATCTATTCATCCATAGTTGCCAAGCTTTGCAGGCAAGTTGGCAACCACATTTTTTTATTATTTTAAGTTGATCACGAAGAGGCCGCTGCCCATCTCCAGTTTCATATCCGTCTGTCGCTTTTTTATAGGATAGGGTGACAAAAGAGCACACAGTCCACCTGATGGTAAGTGGTTGCTGTGACCCATAGACATCTACATCCATCCTCGATTACAAATCGAAATGCAGATGCGTTGTCACCCGTAAGGACTAAGATGGAATGCCTAGTTTCCAGTAAAAAGGGTCTCCGGTTCTCTACACTCACCATACGAAACACAGCAGCATTAAGCTAGTATTTTACGCTGGTATTCTGTGAGAGCGTGGTCCTTCCCCGGTCGAGCCGACCCATTCGTGCTACAACTATGCTACTGATTTAACTGCAGCATGGTCTACCACATATAAACTCTTCTTACGACAACCACGAAACGATATGGGGCAGTGGATAAACTGACACCGCCACTACACGGTTCAAATTATGATCTATATTAAGGCTTAAATTAAAACACTTACCAGTCTGTGTGCTGGAATCGAAGAATGTGCTTGTAGTCTCCACAGTCATTGTTCCGATGGTACCGTCAAGTATTTGCGTTGAGGAATCGCGGCGACCTCTTGCGCGCATACATGCATCGTCGCTTTGAGAGCTTTGTCGTCTGAAATTGCGGCAGCGGATCATTTCCTCGGTCGTCGATTGGCGGCGAAATCCGCGGGCTATTAATATTTCCTCTGTCGTCGATTGTCGTCGGAACATTGTTCGTTCAGGCGGACGTGCACACGGACTTGGATCACGACTAGAACAAGAACTAGATTCCGGGCTACGAGCTCGACCCATACGAGCACATGACGCTTGTCTTCTCAATCTACTCCGACGTCTCGCTGCGGATGGACTCAATTCACCACCACCTGCACGATCTGGGCTTAATTGATTTCGCTCGCGTCTTGGCCGGGCTGCGGAATCAGGACTTAAAGAATCTCTCCTAGCACGTCCTTCATCATCAGGACCTAAAGAAGGACCTGAGTCACGGCGCCGGGTCCCAGGTGGGCCAATGGGGTCGTCGAACGCAGTTGCTTGTCTCTGCAATCGCCCTAACCTTCGTTCCGGACTGGCTGCAGCCCTTGAATCCCTACGAGCTCGCCCACATTGTGTCGTAGAATCTCTTCGACCCCCTAAGTTGGGAGGTGATTTTCCCCCAGGTGTCGCTTGGGTTCCTTGTGTAGATACTGTAGTAATTTGAGATGCTTGATTGGTCTGCATAACACTTCCGCTTGGAGTAGTAGGCGATGTCGGTGATGGTGTTACAGCTGATGTAATAATAGTTGGCATAGTCATCGGTTGGCATTCACCATCTGAACGACTTGGTTCGTGTACTGTTACTATAGTTACCGCTGGTGTTTGCGTAGAGGGACCAGGGTCGGATGATGCATCTACAAACGATGGAGGTGCCGGATTTGGTGGTGAGGCTCGTCTTTTTTTATGAGTAGCAATTATGCGTGGCGGTGGTACTGCAACAGAGTCACGCCTGTGATGACGGTGTCCATCTACAGAACCTCTGCGCTCTTTGTCGTCGCCAGAGCTACGTCTTTTAATGCGACGCTCTCTTGATGGTATTACAGTCGTCGAATCTTTTCTATCAAAAATGGAAAAATCTGAACGGAAATCTTGAGGCACAGCTTTAGAGTCGCGGCGTTTGGAAGCTATTGATTTTATGCCTGAATCTGCGGAAGAATCTCTCCGTCGCCGCGGCGGCGGTTCGTGACGGGCCCATGGTAGCGAGCGTGCTAAGTCTGCTAGCGTTTCACGTCTGGATAGCGGTGCCCTTTGGCGCCGTGGCTGGCTTCCTCCACCGCCCCATTCACGTAATATATCGGTCAGTTGAGCTAACGAAGAACGGCGTCGTCTGGGTCCACCTACATAACAAATATTTTTACTATCGATATTCACAACTACAAGTCAATAAAGTTTATGTTACAGATTCAAATACCTCGAGGTTGATCTGCGACATCTGGTTCAGGCGGAGAAAGGCAGGAAACTTGTGCAGAAGAGTCCCTGCGACTGCCAAGACGCTGCCTTAGTGTGGATTCTTCTAGCGTTGACCGCGTCAACTCATCCCAGCCGTTCCCACCAGCCCACACCAGGCCCACTTGATGAGACAATATAGGCAGGTTGCAAACGAAGCATATTGCTGTCATCGTCCTGACAAACAAAGAATAACGAGTTAATATACGTTGTAGATATCTCTACAAATAACAAAATTGCCATGCAATGTTGCTAAATAGGGTGCGGAACAAAAAGTTGTCTAGTTATGAATGACTTTGAAATTATTATATTTAACCACTCACGCTTTATTATTTCGAAAATATGAATAAGAGTACATGTCGGCGTCTGGTGGCGGTCTGTTCAGAATAGAAATCGTAAAGCCGCATATCGCGCCCTTGTTTTCGCATCACCGGGCTGATAACTGAACTAGCGGCTCGATATTAAATAATAACCGCTCCCATGCTTGTCGACATGGTGTATGATATCACCAATAGACTATTGCTTTGGACCGATACGAAGATTTCATTATATGCGATCAAATTAACATTGCCAGAATGGAAAATATTCAGATGTTACTGGAATGATGTTTCAATATAATATATTTCTGTTTCAATATATAAATACTTTACGCAAAGTTCCTAAAATTTCAATTCACGAAACAGCGTAATCCACCTGATGAACATAATCCACGCTGCAATGAAATATCTAGTCGCTTATTCGATAACGCTTATCAATTTCAGTTTCCAGCTTTTGCCATATTATGTTTAAAGGGCTAACTATTCATATCTATGTATAAATAGAATTATCATAATATGTAGGTGTTTTGCTGACAAAAGCGACATATTGTCTCGGATGTCATATATATGTATGTACTTAGATAAAATTTATTAATCGGTTAAATGGATGAACGACTTAGAAACTCGATCAACTTCATATGTCAAGAAACGATTTGATATACAAATGAGTATTATTATTCATTGGAATGGAAACTAAACATGTTCACACGCTGCGGTATAATAATATGTTTAATGAAATTCTATTTAAATTTATCTGTTTCTAGGCAAACATGCTTTCATCACTGTGCATTTTCATTTTTGCAATCTGAGTTCTTGTTTTTTTTTTCATTTCTACCCCTATTTCCAACAACTTTATATACTTACATATTATTTAATTACTATACCTAAAGGTGGTTCGGTATCCTTTTTCCAGGAGTTAGATCAACTTATTAGCATTGAACTCTTAGCTGTGTTCCAATATAACTGCGGCATACTTTTTTTGAAGTTGGCTGAAGGTGGCTATGAATTGCAATAGCCACTTACAACTTGGTGTACAGACGGATCAGTTGTTAGTTCTATATTAGAAAAAGTCATCATCGCAAGGTTTCATTTATAATTTGAAGCAATGTAAAACATCTTTGAGTTGAAGGTTGTCTTTGTTACCACATGGGCTAGTTGATTGACTTGCACCTTAAACCATATCATCGATTTGGATATTACTCATATCACCGATTTGGATATTATTACGATATACCATCATTAGTGTCTTACAAGACATTACAAGAATTTGTTATTATTTTTTATGTGCTCAGGACAATTAATTGATGAAATTTACCCATGGACTGTGTCGTGTCGCCATCGTTGACCATTTTTGTATCTCAATAATTTAAACAATAATATGTCACTAAAACTACGTGAAAACTATTTAATAGTGCAATGATTTAACTATATCTAATTAGGTACCCACTATTAACCTCTATGTGATATAGTGCAACCTAAACTTATTATTTTTATGTGAATTTGTGTTATAAGAATATGTTGCGTTAGTACAACTGATGATAATATACTTGAAGAAGTCTAGTGAAAAGTATACCTACGTCATGCAGGTGATGTCTTCGTTCGTCGTGAGATACCTATTATACTAGTATAGCATAACGTTAAATGTAAGTTTAAAGAAAATTTATATGAAAAACTTTACAGATAAGTTTGTAATAGGACCAATTGTTGATTTACCTTTTCACATAAATTTGAGAAGCTAAACTTAGATTAACCATATTCCATTATTCTGTTTTACGTCTGTAGTACATAATTTCCTCTTTATTTCCTAAAAGTTAAAACCTTTTATGACAATGATATTTTAAGCTGAATCTGATCACGAAAAATGTAGAAGTAGGTTATCAACTGCATTGGAAGCATAATATTGAGTGCAAACACTAAGTAAACATCAGTTATAATCGCAAGACATTTTAAAAACCAACTAGAAGGTGTTATACAAAAATAGAATTCATCTGAGTGGCCAATCCAAGTCCAAGTCGTATTGTTCGGCCCGTAAACAATTAGTCACTAAATATAAAATAATATAATATATTTACGACGGTTTCTCAAGTATATAGCACGCATACAGAAGCAGAAATCATGCTGTGGGAGTAAATGAATAGTGTTAAAATATTTCAAACATAAAAGCAAACATGCTCGGAGTTTCATTGGGACCTGTAATGGCGCAGACGAGGTGAAGGGGATTGAGGCATGACGAAAGCCAGGGCATTGGGGGCAGGGCGCTAACTCGGGAAAATGCCGATACAGAATATCACATCAAACACTTTGGACATCTGAAACAATTAGTAAATAAATATTATTAGTAAAACTGAAATATACAAGCATTTTAACATCGTCATTTTTGCATTTTTTACATTGAGTAAAATATTAAATAGATGAGTATGTTAGTTTTCTAAAATTATTATATTGAATATTACCTATCTGTAATTATTGTGTGTACTACTAAAAACTTTAAGCGATGCGTAAAATGAACACTTGTTTTTAAGTTATATTAACCGGCTCCAGGTTTATAAGTAATTTAATTTTAAAATGGTAAAATTAATTGCGAATCTCAACAAATAGGATTTGAAAAGAAAGCTAAAACACGTAACTTGAAGTGAGAGTGACATCTTTTAAATTTTTGAGACTAATTTCTTATAATAGGTACATTATTTCACTCACAGGTGGCGCTGTACTTCTATGTACGAAATGTACGAAATAAATAAGCATGAAACCACAAAAGTTCTTTATCTTGTGAACAGATGGCGCTATTCTTATTTTTTTATAGAAGTGGAAGCAAACGAGCATACGGTTCACCTGATCTGCCCTGATAAGGAAGAAGGCGGCTAAGCTACAAAAGTATGTTTCGAGAAAAATTAAAAAAAAGCGCGAAATTGATTTTCTTGATAGATATCACCGAAAAAAATATTTCAACTATTGGCATCCATGTAAAAAAAATTACTAATCTTTCATAAATATTTTTGAATGAAATTATTGGCATACTGTTCTAAAAAATGTAGTTAACGTAAGTATTGAAACATTATATTTGAATATTAATTACAATATAAAAGGCCGTTAAGTATACCCTAACTGCTTTTTAGTATAGCATTGACAATAATCATACGCAAATATAAATGCGGCTAACCTACTTTAACCTGCATGCCTTTAACGTTTTGATTTTTGACGCTTTGTTTAAATTATACACTTGGACTACACTTTATTGCTGTTAAGTGATATGACTGCCTTATAGTATAGTTTATCAGAAAATAATCAAATTAAATGGAAGTGCAACTAAACTAAAATGTAGTTAATCTCACGGAACCACTTTTTTATTTATGCAAATATACCTATGCATTAGCATAGGTATATTTTTGTTATGTAAGTTTGAAAAGTTGCTAAGTGTAAAATAAAATGTGCTTTAGTTTAAAGAATATCAAAACTTTATTCATGCTTAGCACAAACAATTATAAGGAAAAACAAGGGATTGTTTTTTTATTCTTAAAGACCCTCTTTTTGATTTTGAAATGTGATTTTCTGCTCTACTAAACCGTTTTAAATTATAATTCTTCATCTTCTGCTAAATCCGATCTGACGAATCTGATTTCTTTACTGATTTTTTTATCATGGAAATTGGTAGGTGGCATAAAGTATGATATCGACTGATTGTCGTCTTCTTCGGAATCAGAACTGTTTTGCGGCATCTCCACTAACGGTACATAGTCCATTATTTTACCGCATCATCGGACTCAAAATCTTCACCGCTTTATTCTTAATAATGGCGCTCTTCTACAGGTACTGGAAGACGTACTGTAGATGGCAAGGAGTAAGTGATTTTACAGACTTTTACTTATAGATAGACATAGACTTCTTTGAATTTGGAGCTATTCGGCGGCATCTTTACATACTGAATTCAAAGTTTCACCGGAGTTAAAATCTTTATCGCCTAATTCAATGTAACGATACTTTTTGTCATATTTGGAATTATTCTGGGACATGTTCATCGGTGGCCCACAGTTTTTATCTATAGCGATCAATTCTTAAAAAAAATAAAATTAAAATAATAAATGAATTTATTTCAGACTTTTGGTCCATAAAAGTGTTAGTACAAAATATGAATTTACAAATTATGTTAGTAAAACAGAATAAAAACAACACTAAAACATTAATTTAAATATTTTCCGGGCTAGTTTGTGGCACTTGGTACACAAGCATATGTGTATATCCAGTGTCTCCATGTATGTATACCCAGTGTCCTTGACTGGACAGTCTGATTTGCTGGTTTTTTCCAGGACAGAGGTTTTTTAGAACCAGTGGTAACGTAAAATATTGACTTTCAATAAGAATTACTTGTAATCTATATTGAATGAAAAATTATTCTATTCTACCACTAATAACCTTTACAATAGTATTGGAGCTCCCTCTCACTCTGCACATAAGAGACGTGATACGTTGGTGTAGTACTACATCCCTAATGCACTGCAAAATCACGGCAGTCCTGACATCACTCGAAAGGCTATATTGAACTATACAATTAAATATAATATAATCATTACAATTATATACATCGCCTATAGATTGTACCATTTCTTCATAACAAAAAATATTCAAAGCGTTTTATTCGTTTTCGGTTAGGTGAATTCATTGTATATCTTTATTTTGGTGTTGTGAGATATCAAGTTTGAACATACCGCTTAATTTTTGGACTTGATAAAATTTTGTAAATTGATTCAGAATCACTTATGAGATTCATAGACTCTATGGATCTCATAAGTGATTCTGATTTTTCATTTTGATTGATTCACTTTGGTTTTGATCATACTCTATGGCATAGATTATGATCAAGACCAAAGTGAATCAATTATTAAAGAACGGGGAGCCAGTCGTGTCAAATGTGCCCACTGATTAAGTTTAAATGGTTTACAGTCTTCTGCTGTCTCTTCTCTCGCCACGTTCACTAACTTCTTGCCTTTGTTAAATCAAGGCATTATTCAAGGTGTAAATTAAAAAATATATAAATACTCAAATAATGTAGGAAGGGAGAGGTAAGCTCCCTTACGTTCGGAAACGATTTAATATTAAATTAGGAAAAATATTAGTTTATGAATTTGGTGTAATGGTAATCCAAATCCACTTATGCACAATGAAAACTATTGTCAGACCCTGCACCCACACAGAAGCAATGCATGCTACCTCAAATTTGAATTGAACACTCCTTGGCCGTATTTTAAAATTATTTTGTTATGAATATAACGCTCTTTTTTACATATTAGAGAGGATTTTGAATAAAATGTGCTATTATTGACTACTTTTTAAGTACTAACTAAATCAGGGTTTTAGCATTATCAAAAGCAAATCCTCCTCAAATTCAATTTACTAGTATTGTTCCTAAATAAGGAATAGCAGATAAAAGATTGGTAATAACTGTAGCTCCTCAAAATGATATTTGGATATAAAAATAGCAAATTTTTATTTTTATATTAATTTCAATTTATTTAGGTCAAGTACTAAGCTGTATGTGGTATGACTGTGGTAATTTCAATGGAGATGCCAATTAAAAAAAATATTCATATAAGTTCTAAAACTTAAATTTAAAATGAGTGGAAAATATAATTGTAGAAATAAATATGTAACGATTTCTCATATTTACGCGAACACTACACATTTAAATAAAACAAATTTTTACGGATTTTATCGTGTATATTAACTTTTTTATATTCCCGACGTTTCGAGCACTTTACAGCACCCATGGTCACAGGGGCACTAAGGTTTTAGACGACGATCCTATAGTTAATAAAATTAAAACCCAACCCAAGCATACAACTGCAAGACTTCAAGATACTATAAGTTCGTACTGTGTAGACCGGAACAAAAATTTATAATTTTAATCTGTAAATAACCCCGGGTAACTATTACATCGGGACGCCGAAGACCTCAGTCCCTCCCGCGACCATGGTTGCTGTGAAGTACTCGAAACGTCGGGAATATAAAAAGTTAATATACGCGATGAAATCCATAAAAACTAGTTTTATTTTAAAAATAAATATAACTATTTTATTTACTTTAAATTCTATTAAATTTCTTCCTTGCAATTTAATTGCAATTTAATGGGAAAATTGAGTCTTAAAGTCCTTTTCATCAGAAAAGACACATTTTTTCGAAGAACTATTATACAGTTTTCTAAATCAAATTCCAACCCAAAGAATATACCCCACGCACGACCATATGTCTGACGCACTCGGACAAGAGCTCTGATAATACTTTTTTTAACTCTTAAAACTTGCTGATCTATACCTTCACGTACACATCGATTGCTAAACTTCCAATTAGACGCTTTTTAGAGTGGCACATTCACTTTGCCGCTATTTATATATTGTTCCACATATAATTCAAAGGTTCATCATACACTTAAAAGCAGTGAATGCTTTTTTGGGGAGTACGTGATTTTAATATATTTTTTAAATTCTACGCTTGAAAACAGTTAAGTGTTTTTAAACCGTGTTTTAGCTTCTACTACAAGTGTTTACCGCTTTTAGCATATTATTAGGTATAGCCTAGCATGACTGCAACTAAGGAATAAAGCAGTTATTTACGCTTAACTGCCTCTTAGCTTAGAAAATGTATTTAACTGCATTTTTTCTTAGTTTTACAACATCAAATATTAAATTTCAACTAAGAAAATAAATCGTTAAAATCTTTTAACGGCTATATAGAGTAACGGTGAATCGTAGCTGATTTCTAG